GCTCCACTGCGGGTGCTGCTGGTCAAGTTCTAGGTTGAGCTCTACCTCTGCCCCCACCCCGTCCTCGACCTCTGCCTTTGGTAGTAGCTGCCACTGGGGGCTCCGGCTCATTTCTAGCTACAGATGTTATGTGTGTTCTCGCCATCTGCGAGAGAACAATAATAGATTGGATCAATCATCAATGATGTAATAAAATCGCACGATAGAGAAGGAAATAAGTGAAATTTTTCCTAAACTCCATAGCCTTTGGAAGATAAGTACAGACATCCCTCTACCGATCCTCCAGACTCTACTAAGCTTGCTCGTGACTCGTGAGACCTACGCAACCTAGTGCTCTGATACCAACTCGGCACGACCCGGAATTCCCAACCTCGGGACCGTGATGACGCCTAACATTTCATTTTCTAGGCAAGCCAATGCTATATATAGTTATTAGCCATTTTTAAAAATTCAAATTAAATGAAAAACAAATAATTAAATAAGCTGAACTAGAATAAATAATCTAAAATAATGGCGATATCCAAATACAATCCCAGAACTGGTGTCACAAGTACACGAACGTCTGGAGTACTACAAGTAATAGTCTGAATGAAAGCATAACTGTCTGAAACGAAATAAACAATTAGAGTAATGTAGAAGGGGACTTCAAGGCTGCGACGCTGTGCGGTTGTACCTCAAGTCTCCGTCAAGCACTGGATCTGAGCAATCTACTGACCGCCACTAGGACCAACTCCAATATCTGCACAAGAAGTGTAGAGTATAGTATGAGTACAATCGACCCCATGTACTCTGTAAGTGCCGAGTCTAACCTCGACGAAGTAGTGACGAGGGTAAGACGGGCAGTATAATAATAATAATAAGAAAAGAAAACAGGAAATGATAATAAAATAGTTAACTAATGAAAACAAACTCAACCCTCGAAATTAGTGAATCCACAGATATCAGTCCTCAAAATATCATATAAAACACAATACAACAATGAGTACAACACACACAATCCGTTGCGGTACGCAATCCGATCCCACTGTACACACACCCTTATTTCATCATATCAATATAAAAAATCACATATAAAATCTGTTGCGGCGCGTAACCCGATTCCACCATATAATCAGAACTAATATCATAATCCTCATTTATTTCACCATATCACATTTTATCAATATCAATTGCATGTACTCAACCGTTGCGGCACGCAACCCGATCCCACCATATCAATAAAAATTCCCTATTATTCTACTATTTAACAACCGTTACGAAGTGCAACCCGTTCCATAAACAAATTCAATAAATAGAATCAACCCAACAGCTCAATTTACAAGAATCTCGATGATTAAAGAATATGAAAGCAAAACAATATAGGACTCATGTACTAATCAAAGGAAGGCTACAAATAATACAAGAGAAACAAAACAAGCCAAGTATGTGACAGTTAAAGTGTACAAGTAAGAAAATTAAGGCAAGTGCAATTAATCATAGAGTCATGGAAGGAACGAACATTTCAATACAAAAATAATTAATGACAAATAACAAGTTACGGCATAGAAAGCAATTAAAGCATGTACCAGTTACGACATGGAATACGAGAAAGCATGGAAACAATTTTTCTGACGGCGTATATACACTCGTCACCTCGCATATATGTCGTTACATATGTAATTCACATAACATATAGTCAAGGGTTCCTAATTCCCTCAAATCAAGGTTAGACCCAACACTTACCTCGCTCTGCAATCAAATCAAAGCTTCACCGGGGCCTTTCCTCTAAAATTCAGCTCCAAACTAATCGAATCTAACCAAAATCGATTTAATATCATCAAATAATGCTAGAAAAATCAATTACAATAGATAAATTAAAGATCTTTACACTTTTCACAAAAAAAGTCAAGAGATTCAACCCCCAGCCTGCTTAGTCAAAACCTAAGACTGAGACCAAAATCCAATTACCCATTCACCCCCAGCCCGATTATGTGATTAATTTCGAAATACGACCTCAATTGAGGTCTAAATCTCAATTTTACCAAAACCTCCAATTATATGCAAATCCCTAACTTTCTACCATGAAAGAGCATATATTAAGGTTAGAAATCAATGGGTGTTGACGGAAATGAAAGAAAACGAGTTAAACTATACTAACCTACAAAATGGGGATGAAATTTCTCTTCAAAATCGTCTCTAGGATGGTGAAAAATGAAGAAAATTTCGTCTTTGGAACATTTTAAATCACTGGCGTCAGGTCTTCATCACGTTTGCGCAGGACCTGATGCGATCGCGAAGCACATCATCCCTATTGGCCTTCGCGTTCGCAAGATGCCCTATGTGTTCGCGATGGCTCTGCCCCCGGCCGTCGGGTTAGCGACCCTCCGATTGCGATCACGTAAAACACACAGTTGATCCCCCTTCCAGGCCCATACCCATTGCGTTTGTGTAGCTTTGGTCGCATTCGCGAAGGGTGATCCTACCATTTCTTCACGTTCACAACCTAAGCCTCACGTTCGCATAGAGGAAATTCCACCCCAGCTCAGGTTACTCTTCGCGATCGCGAGAGTAGCTTCGGGATCGCGAAGAAGGATGCACCAGATATTAGAAAACTTAGAACCAGCAATTGCCTAAGTCCAAAATCACTTTGTAGCCTGTCTGAAACTCACCCAAGCCTCTCGGACTCCAAACCAACACATGCACACAAGTGTAGTAACATCATATGAACTTGATCGCGCAATCAAAACATCAAAATAACACCTAAAATTACGAATCGGACATTAAAATGAATGATATTTTCAAGGAAACTCAAGAATATGCAAATTTATAACCGGACGTCCGAATCACGCCAAATCAACTCCATTTCGCACCAAATTTTGCATACAAGTCATAAATAGTGAAATGAACCCCTACCAAGTTCTGAAACCGAAATATGAACTCGGCAACCTACGGTCAAACTTAGGAATTCTTAAACCTTCAAATTACTAATTTTCAACAAATCATGTTAAATCAAGTTATGGGACTTCCGAATTCGATTCCGGCATACGCCCAAGTTTCAAATCACGATACCGACCCACAGGACTGTCGAAACACAAATCTGGGTCCGTTTACGCAAAATATTGACCGTAGTCAACTCAAATGAGTTTTGAGGCAAAATTTCACATTTTCTTCAATTTTTCACATAAAATTTTTTCGAAAAAAGACACGGACTGCGCATGCAAATCCAGGAAGGCTAAACGGAGCTATTCGAGTTCTCGGAACACAGAAATGAAGGCTAAAGCTAAAAATGACTTATCCGGTCATCACAACACATTTCGCTTCTTGAGAGTCAAACTATGTGAAGTTTGACCAATATTTTACAATATATATATATATATATATATATATANTTATTCTATTTTTATTAGGAATATTCATTTAATTAATGTTCTAACATTTAGGATTAGTAATTGAATCATTTTCCTAATATTTACTACTTTGAAATCAAACAAAATTTTGTATATGGAATGTTTCCTTATTCAAATTAGGTACAAAATTCTATATCTATGTAATCGAGCAAAATTTTAGTTATAAAAATTATTTCCTTTTATAATTTATTACTTCTAGCACCAAAGATTTAAAATAATTCTAGACGATACATTAAAATAGGCTTTGACTTAAATGTTCTCTTATCAAATAGAAATATTTTCACTCTTATTCTTAAATGTCTTATTTGTCTAAGTATAAGATCAGAATAACGAGGGTCATTTACTTATTTTCTAATATTTTAAAACTTTAAAATCAATAAATTTTATTTATTATATTTTCTTACTTGAATTAAAAAATTTGAAAACAAGTAAAATTATTTTACTAAATTATTTTCTTTAATTGAGATATAACTATAAAATTTGTGGTAAATATCAGTATTAACTATATGGTCGTGATAAAGTCATTCATGTGATGAAAGAGAACATATATCAACAACATCATTCATGACTAAATGAGATTCAATCCGCTCAACCAATTTTGTGTCACTAAAATATTATCAACAAATAAATATTAATTAGTTAACTTAATTTTTTTTTAAATGTGTATGTAGATAAAAGTAAATGTTATAAACAATATCTTAACTATTTATACACATTAATATACATGAATGCTAATAGACCTTTTCTTTTTGAGAATTATATGACGTCACAATACACTTCATGTTGGATAAAAAAATGAAAAAATAAAACAAAATAATAATAATAATAATAATAATAATAATAATAATAATAATAATAGAAGTACTTATTTTCTACCTTACTTTTTTTTTGACAATCTTTTTATTTCTTTCTAGAAATACAAAAATAATACTCATCCAATTAAATTCTCCGTAAGATAATTAAACCAAATAATATAGAATTTTATATGAGGTACTTAAACAAATAGAATTTAGTTTTAAGGCCATCAAAAATATAGTATTGTTGCATGATATTAGAGTACAAGTCAACATATTATTCAATTTTGTCTGAGCTACTAAACTAATTGCACAACTCACATATCAAAGTAAAGATAAAGCATTAGAATACTTTTGTGTGACATTAAGTTGGCTAATAGCATCAATATATATATATATATATATTCAAGAGCTTGGGGAATTATTTAAAGATTTTATTTTATAACTCTCTCATATAGTTATTAATATTTGTGTCATTTTTATCACTGAAATCGAGTACACACGCGACGCGCGTATCCTAAAACTAGTATATATATTTATTTTTTTATCATATTAATATGAGAAAAAATGCAATTTTGCTTTAAAAAGTGAGTAAAGGGTCTTCCCTTCTCCCCGCCCCTCTACGTCACTGCACTCTGTTGACTTGTACATTCAAACAGAGTGACTCATAGGATAATTTTGAGCAGTCCCTAAACTTGAGGGAGATTTCTACGTCTGAGGGGAACTTCAGGGGTTCTTAGTTATAATTCGCCAACAAGGCGCAACTCCACTTGTAATTAATTCTAAGTGGCGCCGAGCCAAATTTAACCGAATAGCTGAGCCGCAACAATTATATATTTGAGCTTCATCAAAACCCCATTTTCTCTTTTTCTCTCACTCTCTGCAACTGAAGTAGCCCATCACAACGAAGCATTGAATTTTGTAGGTGAGTGATTCACTCTGTATATTGTGGGTCTCTCTCTTTCTGCTTATGGTTACTTGTATTCTTGATCATCTTGCGTCTTTTTGAATTATATGTTTCAATTGATATTTCAGATTATGTGAAATTCTAAAAGGGTAAATTAAAATAGTAAAACTTGTAAGCTGCTCCATGCGCGATGTAGAAATGTGACGTCCCTCGCTTATGAAGCCAAATTCCCTGGAGATTTCATTTTAGTTTTCATAATTTCGACTTAATCAATTGCTGTTGGAAAATGTGTAGGAGTTGGGTATTTAATAGTTAAATTAAATGGCTTGCCCCTAATAGGAAAGGCTTCTTATTAATGTTGAGATAAACAGAAGGAACTACTTGATGGTGCTTGTCATTCAGATGCTAGTCACTTCAAAGTCTAGTGATGATTATTAGTAATTACGTATTAAATAGTGGCTTGAAGTGCGTTTGAGCTGTGAAGCTAGGTACATGTAATGTAGGTTGGGCGCTTGACTTTGCTTAAGTGGCTCTTTAACAAAGGCACCATGGCGCTAAGGTATCTCTATTTTGAAGAAGGCATTACTTAACAGTTAACAGTAAACATCTCTACAAAGGTGATGAATTAATATTTAAACAAGTTATGGATAAATGTATTGTGATTAGATGTATACGATTGGATATTTAGTATAAGAAAAGTAGCTGGGATTTTTTTTTTTTTTTTTTTTTTTTTTTTTTTTTTTTTTTTTTTTTTTTTTTTTGCATTCGAATCAGTTTTTAAAATGGATTTGAACTTGATTGACCTAGTTTTGCTTTCCTATATCTCACTTGAAATACAATTTTATTTTTTTCGTTATAATTGTTTTTTTTTAAAAGTGTATAGCTCTTTTTAGTTTGATCACATCTATGCTTATCAGAGCAATTCTTCGCTAAAGCACACTCCATAATTGCACTTTGCACTCAGATCCCTGGCAGATTTTTGCACTTTTCTACGCTCTTCTCCTTCGGTAACACTGGTGACGTTGTTTTTCACAGTGTCTATTATGTGTTGATTAGGGAACTATGGCTTCAAAACTACCTATAGTGAAAGCAAAGGCTGTTGAAGCTTCAAAGTTCTTGACCAAGCATGGATGTGCATACTACAAGCAGACATTGGAACAGAACAAGCAATATATTCAAGAGCCACCTACTGTGGAGAAATGCCAGCATTTGGCAAAACAAGTATTCTACACTCGCTTAGCTAGGTTTGTTATTCAGAACTTTTGTCCTTTTATGTATGGGATACTTAGTCTTTTGAGGTAGTTAGAGATGTTTCTTGTGAGGTAGTTAGAGATGTTTGTTGTTCTTCACCTTACCCGTCCATAGAGTTTTTGATGTTATGGGTGTAGGAAGTGTTGGATCATTTTCCTGACTCTTTTTTCTTGTTAGTCACAAGTTGGGGGTAGCTAGGTTACCTTTGGGGCTATAGGGCTCAGACTGCAAGCTGCTCAGCATCTTGTAGTTGTATATTTTTCTTGTTCTATCCTCTCATTCAGAACCTAAATGGCCCGTGATTCAAAAATCACTTGTTTATAGTCGAGGGGTAACTTCCCTTGCTCATAAAGTGGAAGAACATTTATCAACTTTCTGCTATCTGATTAAGTTGAAGAAACCAACACAAAGATCCTTCTCAAAAAAACAAACACCAAGGTTATGAATCCTCGACTTGGTCATTCATGGACCTATAAAAATTTTAAACATGAAATTTTAGTCCACCTAGAAAAAAATGGGTGATTAGTTTATGATTTTGGTGATTTTGTCAATATACTAGTTGATTTAACGCAGCCGACTTGTCAAGAGAAAAAATTGAATTGTTATGTACTTGAGATTGAAATAGTAGCTCATTAGAAGTAGTAATAGCAGGCCGTGGAGATGAAGAATAAAAATCAACTTCAACTACTGAATGTTAGGGAATAAATAGCGCAAATCTCGAGTTCAAACTCTGCATCAAACGAAAACCTAGTATTTAATTGGAGAAGGGTGGAGGAACGGGCCCGTTATCCATCAAACTTCGTATCGTGTGCCACAAGCCCTCGGGGATTTCTCAGTTATAACACAATGCTAAAGAAAAAAATATTCTGATACGGCTGAAAAAGTACAGTAAATGGTTCTTAGACAAACTAAAGAAAGTGAAAAAGAAATTGAAGAATAGAAAACACAGTGGATTTCCCAAGTGAAATTGAAAACATAAAAGGATAACAAAATGAATTTATTTGAATGATTGTGAGGAAAATGTCTTATTTGGAAATTAGAGTTGGTCTCTAAAGTTTAGATACCTTTTCTCTAGTGAAGCCAGTAATACATAATGCTTCCTGTCGTTATCAAAAAAATGCAAAATGCCTCGTGGTTATAAAAAATTTCATGTACGTAAAGCCTCTTTTTTTGTAAGGGGAAAACTTATGACATTTGCTTCATTTAACCTGCAATTATTATATTTGCATAATTTTTTTTTTATTATAGTTGCTTAAGTTATTAAAGTGTTTCTTTTTAATAGATATGTTAAACTTTCTATTTTTAACATACCTATTTTTTTTCTTCTCAAAAATAGGTATGTTAAACTTTCATTGCATGAAAGGGGAAAATTTCGATATGCACAAGATATTTTATTTGTTCGAAGTGCAAGTCTATTTTAGAGAAGAAGGGGTGTTTATTAGGACAAGAACCTATAGGAATGTTATTTAGTTTATTATTATCAAGGGTGTGGCCTGATGGTCAATGAACTGGGAGGAGAATCATGAGGTCTCAGGTTCAAACATTAGGTGATTTCTTCCCATCCGGCCATCCGCCTAAGTCTTGGTGGGCAATGCTATAGGTAATTGTGCGGGTGGGAGGTAGCAAGTAGCCGAATGGAATAGTCGAGGTATACGCAAGCTGGTCCGGATACCATCGTCATAAAAAGAAGTTAGGACATTATTGTGGAATTATCTGTGAAGATTCATATAGCCCACCCCGAATCATTTGGGACTCAGGTGTAGTTGTTGTTGTAGTATTATCGTAGAATTGTCAAAATCTAGACTAAACATGAATTTTGGGTTGCTTAGATACTAGCTAAACATCTGGACATGATGACGCTAAGTCTGCGGAAGAGATGCCAAAAAAGTGAAAAGATATGGGAAGAAGTGTTGGTTAGTAAAATAGCAGGCATCATGTTGTAAATTCACTTTTCTGATTATTGGTTGTTACTCTTTAATTTGTAACTTGTGTACTGTGTAGGCCATTGATTCGGGCATGGTCAGTTGATCTTGTATCTGACTTGAAAGTGATCTACCTCTTCTGTATGAATAGTGCAGTATCCTGGAGAAACGTCTGGGATATTTTTGTTAACAGTGAATTTAATGTACAATTTACCCAGAGAAGGAAATTCTTGAAGATTTTTCCAGATACTTTCTTTCAACTTCAAATACTGTTTTTTCAACTTCAACCAAATATTGTCCAAACGCCTTTAAGTATCTCGATTCCAATTTCTAACCTGCTGCGGTTTCTTGGAGAAGTATGCATACCTAGAAGTATTTTCTTTTTTCCCTGAGCTTTTCCTTTTGAATTACACTAGATGAGGTCAGTGTTTTTCTGCTAGCTCCTAGGCAGCTACTCTTGTTTGACTTTGGGTTTTTGACTTCAGATTGAGTTCAGAATGGAGGGAAAGAAAAAGTCTTGTGTATGTGCTAATAAGATACCTCCAGAGATTTTGCTCTTGTTTTCTCTAGGAATGTTATATTATGGCTCTACTCTAACTTGTTGATGACTTAGCAAGGGTGAGTTATTGAATGTTACTCTTTGATGGTTTAGCACCATCCTACCTGTTGTTACTTGATTTTATATATCTGAAAAGAAAAGAAGGTTTCTGATATACTCATTGGTCAAAGTCGGACAAATTCTACTGCCTGTCTGCTGTACTTACTGCCATTAAATGTTTAGTGAGTGTACCAAATTTTGAGAGAAAGGTAACTATCTCTAATTCATATGCTACTTATTAAACTACTTGAGCCATTTAGTGGAATGATGCTTGAGCTCTCGCTTTCCTGTTCACCGTGATGTGTTGATTGGACTTAGTTCCTCTTATGTAATTGAATTTTATTCTAGAAGATGATATTTACTTGTTGGAATTTTGTATATGGTTTTGGTTTGCGGGGGAATATGACATGGAATTGTTTAGATTTGATTTGTGTGATGATTTGGATTCTTGAAAGTGGAAAATGAGTATTTATATGTGCCCTAATCATTTCGTGAAAGCTTTTGTTGGTTTGCTGGGAGAAAAGATTAACTCTGCTTCCAGTTTGGCATAGTTAATCGCAGTGTAGTCAAAGGCGCGCTTAAGCCTTGAAGTGAGGCTTGAAATATGTTTAGCGCTTCGCCTCGCTTTGTACGAGCTTTAGTGTCGCATCAAGGCTCTAAGGCATACTTTTTCTTGCCCATGAGTGTAATCCTGAAAAGGCGATATTAAACAATTGATATTTCACTTTATCGTATTTTTTTTTTAAATTTCTTTGTCCATATATTTGTTATTAATGTTTATAATTATTAGTCTTGGACTACATATACATATTTTTACTTTTTCTCTAGTTGCGCCTTTTTTCATTAAAGCCCACACTTTATTTGCACTTTACGCTTAAAGCCCCAACGGACCTTAGGTTTTTTTTGCGCTTTTCGCCTTTGATAATCGTTGCAAATACTTTTGTGCTTCTCTCTATATTATAGACATAGTTGTTGGATGATGTCAGAGCGGAAAGGTTAAAACTTGAGCTTCTTTGTGTCACCTGATAGAAAACCTGTTCAGTTTATTCCTTCACATTCATCTTGTACTAATGATCTGTCTGCTTCTTGGGACAGTATTCCTGGCCGTTATCAAGCATTCTGGAAGGAACTTGATGATGTCAAGCACTTATGGAAGCACAGACAGGAGCTGAAAATCGAGGATGCTGGCATTGCTGCTCTTTTTGGCCTTGAATGTTTTGCTTGGTTTTGTGCTGGGGAGATCATAGGACGAGGGTTCACGATTACTGGTTATTATGTCTGAATGTCTCCAAGTATTAGGTTTCAAAGGAATGACTTATGTCACTGTTGATAAAAGGTCATTGTCAATCTCTACTTTGAGCGGGATAACACGTATCAGCGAGATACAGATTTTCAATTTTCATGTTTAGCAAGTACAATGTACGCAGAGGATGAGCCTTCTGCTAAAGATTTCAAAGGCTGAGTTAGGAGTAATATACGTGCTTCAATAAGGCGGCATCAAGCATGTATTGTGCGATTATTGTTGCTTCTATATGTTTATTTTCCTCTGGAATCAAAATAATTCCTGTGCGGCTTTCTTTAACGCTGTCTTAAAGTTAAAGCTGTTTAACTGAAAAGAGAAGTTTTCGCTGAACTAGAGATTGTATCTTGAGAGTGATGTTACCAAATTGTTTGGTTTGACAGATGACAAACTCGCAGATCTGGTTCAACTCTTGCCATCTCTCTGGGAATTTGAGGCTTTAATTGTCCTTAAATCATGTACGTATAAGGTCTGGGACAGAGGGAGTTCAAGACTTTGTTCGTGAGTTTTGACTAGGAGAGCACCTAATTAAGATTTTTTGGATAGTTTAAGAGCATCTTGGATCATATGCCCTTCAAATGAACTCCGATTGGGTACTAGTTGCTAGGTAGTGGATGACTATTTTAGGCCTGCTTTAGTTTATCACAGTTTCAATTTAAGGGCATAAGCTGGCAAGAAAATTGATCTTAAGGCTCATATTCACATTAAAAATCGCCACCTCATTTACTGATTACAGAGATGCTTTACTAAAGTTCAGCACTAAGCTTCCACTATGCACGTTTATAGGTATGAGGAAAGCTAGACCACATTAAGCTTACCTTGCATATTTAGAAGTAATAGTTTCCACAGCTTGAATCCGTGCTAATTAATTTGTCCTTGCAAGTTTCCTTATAAATGCTTAACCCAAAAAAAATTATTGTATAATAGAAGATAGTCCATAGGTTTAGAGAAAAATACAAGACAACTTCTAATGGGTCGAAACCCAAGGCCACAGAGATTTTTGTATTTCTGATTTGTGCATGTTCTATGTACAAGTACCGAGCCCAAAACAGAATATTAGCACTTCAAAACTGTTGTATCCATTCTAACAAAAGTAATGTCTAATATATTTAATTAGAACAAAACTTGTAAATTGCTCACAAAATTAAGAAACTTTCAGGTGGCGCCACAAATATGAAATATCGCTTCTTGCTCTCTGTAGTCTGTACTAATCTTTCAGCCATTCTGAAAAGGAGTGTTTGTCCTCCCTAAAGGATGTTCTTCCTAAAAGCCGATACCATCTTTGGTGAGAACAGAAAAACGAATGCTAATAGTGATCCAAAAAGCATTTTTATAAAATATTGCATTGGATCATTGTCAACTTCTTCCTCTGCGCCAGAGGACGTTGACATTGCCATTGCCGAAGGCAATACTTCAATAACTGCATCTGCCAGATCAGTTATGAAGGATGAGGTGCAATTCAGAGCAGGAACACGACCCCAATTTTCAATTCCTGATTCAAGTGCTAATTCCTTGTATTCCATATCAATCTCTTCAAGAGTCTCTATGTGTTCACTCACAAAGCTGAAATTCCAATAGCAAGCATACATTAATTTGAGATATCAATAAGAAAACCAAGAGAAAAAATATCTTTGTGCAAGTACTAAGAAAGTCTACAGAGACACAAGAAGTATTTAACTGTCAATTCAACAAGCAAGCGCTTAATACTTTGAATCAGGTGATAATTTAAGTGCTTAACATTTTCAAAATTTTGATCCTTTTCAAATTCCAACAACTATAACGTAACTCAAACCAAAGGTTGGCTTGGCATATGTTAGATAGCTGCATGCAGCTCCTGTGCTCGGAAATTCATAAGTTATAGGACCTAAAATATCCAACTTACCAACAAAAGATTTGATGAATGTTCAAAGATTCAAAGCATAACGAGGATTCGCTTAACTTGACCCAGAATATGAGACTGCAGAGAATTTTGAGAAATGTACTCAGTTAGCATCTCACTGCTATTAATTTGTTTTTCTTTCTTTTGACAAGTCAAGAAAGTAGCATCTCAGTTCTGTAGTTGAATCCTAAGTTGCTCCGACACGGCAGTTCAGGTGCCACACCCGTGTCGACATGACACTAGTATGGGTGTGGGTATGGGATTCGTACTGGATCTGGTCAAACAATTTTGAGTACTTTGACCATGACGGAAGAAAAAATTTGATTCCCGAGATACAATTTGATTCCCGAAATCAAAACCAAAACTAGGGTAAATTTGAAGAAAATAGCATATCTTATCTAGGAAATCAATTCACTACTTATCGACAACTTGGGAATAAAAAAGAAATCCACACTTTACAAGCTATACATAAGTATTCCACAAAATTTCTCATAATATATATATATATATAGAATTATTTTTAGCCGGATCCCCGTACCCGTATCCGTATCCCCGAATCTTATAATTAACACTTCGAAGGATCCGACCTCTAGATCCGCACCCGTTTCGGACACTTCAACCTGTGTCCGAGCAACTTAGGTTGAATCATCTTAAGTTTTCAATCTCTTTATATGCACAAAAGTTAGCTTCCATTAGCAAAGATGCCTAAAGTTATGTTACAGAATTGGGATAATACCATCCATCAGTCATGCGGTTTTCCTATCACATCTCCAGCAAATTGGGTCTGGCTAGAAACCATCATAGACTTGAAACAATACCCAACAAAATGTAAGGAAATAGCTTTATGTAAGTCTAATACTGGGACGTGAACCTAACAAAATATTGCCCAATAAATTCTTAACACTGAGTTTGATCGCACCACATTAAAAGAGCTGCACGAAACTGAGAACAGAAAATTCAGGTGGCTCTAGGATGTATACCTTACTGGAACAGCCAACAGAGACTTTACACCTTTCTTGCCAAGCTCAACAAGAACTTCGTCAGTGTATGGTTTCAACCACTGTACAGGTCCAACTCGGCTCTAGAATGCCAAAAAAAAATTATATCAGATTAAATTCAACACCAAACAGGAAGAAAAATCCATCCTTCGCATTGTAATGGACCTGGTTAACTTTTACATGTATAGGAATAATATGTTATAATGGATATCGTTGAAACTATGCCATATCAAATTGGAAATAATATCAGAATTGTTGGGGGGAAAGTTTCGCAATTTTAGGAAAATGCCATCCTTTTGGACTGACAAAATAGAACTAACATGGGACAAAGGTATCAATATTCTTTCTCAAAATCCACCAGCGCACTGTCCACACCCCCCCCNCAACTTAGCCATGAACTGATCAGTATAAGCACAACTGGATGTAGATTGATTACAGTGTGGAATCTATATTTATTTCTAATCTATCATCTATAATAACTTTATGCAATGGCCACATAAGGGAGAGCTCAATGCAGATGGCATTATAGAATGTCAAGAACGTGTAACGCAGAAAACATGATCCAATGACAAACCTGATAAGCCAAGGTATGATGATTGTTAGTTCCTCTAGCTTTCAGCTCATTCATTATCAAGGAAATGCACTCCTCCATCTGATCTCTATACGGATCACCAGCATCTTCAACATAACTAACTGGCACTCCATGGGCGCTAAAGAAAATCATGACCTAAAATCATCCAAAAACTTGTCATTATGTTGCCACGGTAGCTACTCCCAGTTTCAATAATAGTAAAAAGGAGTTCATCAATTACAAGTATAAACATGACGGACAGGAACTAAGTCCATACAACTAAAGAATAATAAGATAATCTACCTCCTCAGGGTTGGAGAAATTATGCAACTCCTTCTCAATCAAGTCTGCCATGGACTTGATGTAGCCTTGTCGTTGGTACCAGGATTCAATGATAGCAACTGGCAGTCTAGACAGATAAGAGTCATCCCTGAAAGGAAGCAAAGTTCATACGTTATTTTGATGAAGGAGTTCATATATTATTTAGAATTGAGGAATAATATATATGTAACATTAAGAAAGAATATGACATTCCACACGTGCGGTTACCAAATTGAAAAGAAAGAATTACTTGAAAATATTCTGTAAGGCACGGACGCTCGAACCAGTTGTAGAGATAGAATATTGAGGATACAAAGGCAGCACTACGAGCTTCGTAATCCCATCTCTTTTTATCTGCCGCACAACAGGGAACACAAATTCAGATCAAAGAGAAGATTTACATAATTTTAGCATTCGCAGGAGATGAGTGATTCTGGGGCCCATTCAATCCCAGCAGCTCAATCAGATCCTTCTTTCGAAAATGGACGATTGCTGCTGGGTTTGGATATATGTATAAAGCATGTACCATCTAGGACATTCAGCACATGAGATTTTTATATGAAAGAAAAAAAAATATTGGATCTCAAATTAACAGCTGGTGATTTTCAGAATTATCAGCATCTAACATGTACTATATATATGTATTTACTAGATAAAGCTGAGAGAGTGTATTACAGATCACTAAGGGATACACTGCATTATCAATAAGGCTTTGCTATGCAAACAGACATCCAATGTCCAACAGTTGGTTACCCCCACCCTGGTTCTATCCACACAGCTTAAAAGTGTAGGTTCCATACTGGTATGCATATGAAGATCTGTCTTGATTGCTAAGAAAATATTGTGAAAGCATCCGATTTAATTACTACTCTCTCCGTTTCAATTTAGTTGAGGTAGTTTGACTCGGCAAGGAGTTTAAGAAGAAAAAAAAAGAAGACTTTTGAAACTCGTGCTCTTAAAAGCTTAAGGGGTAAAAGTTTTGCAAGACCGTGACATTTGTGTGGTTGTAAAAGCTTCTCATTAAGGGTAAAATTGGTAAAATGAAGAGTTTAAAGTTGAATTATTTCCAAATGTAGAAATAGGATATTCTTTTTGGAACGGACTAATAAGGATTGTGTGTCATCTAAATTGAAACAGGAGTAGAAAATTACGTAATCATCATAATCCTCATTCCTCGACAAGATAGGAGTCCAACTGATTTACTTTAGGTACCCCTATAAAATGAATATTCATTATAATGAGGACGACACAAAAGCATATAGTGCAGAAGCCTTCTACTATTTACCTACACTAAAACTCTATAAGGGTTGGAGATCGAGAGAGGTGTTCTTTCCTTCTTTCTTATGTTTATTATATTCCCTTTGGGTGTAAAGTGAAGGAGAGGGCGGTGAGCTACCAAAAATCAAATTCGATAGACATCCATTCACTAAAAATGTCGTCTATTATATATCTTTAATTTGCCACTTTTCCCAACAAAAATTTCTTCAAAATAACTCATTCAAGAAGAATTTTTTTTTTCTAGGATCAAATCCTGATTTGGATTGCTTTAGGATCCCAGGTTTAAGTGTAAAATCATAAGAACTTTATAAGATTTTTTGAAGAAAGAACTTTATAAGATTTCTTGAAGAAAGAACTTTATAAGACTAGAAGAAGAAAAAAGAAAACTTACCTATCTACACTTGCATAACTACAAGAAAAGTTGAAATTAGTGAAAATCCATTCTAAAGATATACACTTGAAAAACATGTAATACAGGTTATGCATAAACATAAATGGAAAAGGATGGGCCAAAAGGTATACCGTTGTTTACATTCATTATACCGTAAATTACAAATGAATTGGCAGCAGATGAGCTACAGGTTCCAGAAAAATAAGGACCACTTCTATCATAAATCTAAACAAAAACATTGAAGAGAAGAAACACTCAACAGCCATAGGGCAAAAAGACATTTTTTTGATAAGGACTCATAGGACAAAAAGATATGATCTTAAGATCCTACAAATTTTTGTTCTATCATTCAGAATTATTTCCTCTATTATTGGTAATTCTTTAGTCTTACTTTCTTCCAACGACTGAGAAATTCCCCAGGACCAATGGAGTGCATGGCCTCGGCTCCAGAACCAAACTTGAGTTGTCTCGGCTCTTCTTAAGAAATTGAAGTTCCCTCTCTCTAGATAGGAAAAAATCATTTACAAAGTTTAGCTGGCCCATTGGCACAGACATGAAAAACCTACTAGGATGAGGCTTAGCGGGAATTGAGCCCCACATCTCGTTGAGTTGCTCCAGCAAGCACCCCTTTCGGAAGCTCAATATCGAGGACCGGGGTTGTAGATTTGGTTGAATTTGGATGGTCTTCAAACTCCTGAAATGCAGTCTAGACAGCTGGCCCTCCCCTTTCTAACTAGTCTAATACCAAAATCATTTCCATCATTACCATCGCCAAAATTAAAGTCGTAGTTAGGCACTCGATAGTTCGAAACTTAGCTGATAATGGGCCCACCCCTCTACCCTTCTCCACTTAAATACCGAGCTTTTGTTTGACATGGTGTTCAAACACGTGCCGTGCGCCTAACCCACATCACGTGTTGTGCTCTTACCACTAGACCAAAGCCCTGTGGGGAAATCTGTGTTCTTACTTAATAATAGGATGGCTAACATTTTTCAGTGTTCATATCTAGGTGGTTCTCTTGAAGTTCTGCCCATATACAAACTCTTAACACAAGTCGGACTTAATTGAAATATCAAGGGGATTTTTTTAAAGAGCAACTACAATACATGCATATTGACATGAAAACGAGGAAAAAGAACAAATGCAAGCCATTACCAGTTCAACTTGGCTAGATATAAATCTAAACACATGAGAGAAGACATAGACAACATCAAAGAGTTGATCAAGAAATAAACAGATGTAACTGCTAAAGGAAAAAAAGTAGGCATTTTAGACCTACCTGGTGAACAGCTTCCTCGGTGAATGGGTGCCAGTATCGCATTGCAACATAGACATTTGCAGGAACTTCCTTTGTTTCTAGTGCCATTTTTAGCGCGCTAGCCTATAATAGTGAGCTTAAGAGGGTTATAACATGTTGAAAACGACACCACCATAGATGGAAAAGAGAGCTTTTTATCATGTAATACCAAAAGTAAAACAGAGGTTTTTTTTACCTGCTCGTCTGTTATCTTTCGTAAAGGGGAACCGCCTCCAATTGCAGCGTACCCTTCCTTACTCTTCGGGGCTCTGAGAACAGAAATGAGTTGTGCTAATGGGCGCTGGAGAAATCGGAATAATCTAGGGAGACGTATAATATCCTGCCCACCAAAAAAAACAATGATACCATTAGGCATAACCACAAACAAATCTGACTTAGCTGTTCAACATCTTCAGCTTAGAAGAAACAAGGGAATTAGACTGATTGCTAGCATACAGGGTCAGCAAATAAGTTGAACAAGAAAGGCTGAACATCGTGAAGCGTGTCTGGTCCTCCAAGATTCAAAAGTAGCACCCCAATCTTTTCTTCAGTTGTCTGTGAAGGAGATTCAGCAATGCTCCCGGGATATGTATACGCCCCGACAGAACAAAACATTTTGCCGACTGGATCTCTCTTGTGCACTGGACGATGTAAAGACAATCCACCAAATACACTGCTCTTCTTATTTTCTGAAGATAAAACCAGAGATAATTCCTGCTCGGTAGGATTCATTTCTCGTCCACCATGTGACACATGGCAAGCAGGCATTAACCTTGTCCGAGGGCAGAACCTGCCAAGACAGAGACTTGCGATATGAGTTACAGCGGGACTCACATTACTTCTTATAGGCAAACATTAGTTTTGAGAATGAAAATGCTCTCTCAAACAGAAAGTGGTTCTTTTCTCCAATTAAAGTTCTATGACTTTGTAGTTGATACACTCCCTTTATTAAATTACCCCTAATATGTTGCATATGTTAAGAGTTAAGTTGCATAAGTTAAGAGTAAAATCTAAATTTTTGTACAAGAAGCAATTACTTCACATGATTAAATTGTATTCAAATTAGTGTAAAACCAACAATTTCTTCATATGTATGTGAAATCAGTACTATACGACTTTAATCTCCTACGAAAACTCAAATCGTCAGAAAATTAATCCCAGCAGCAAAAAGAAAAAAAAAGAGCATCTTTCAACAGGATTCTGAGTTTTCAAACAGTTGACATACAATTGATTAAATAATCTAGCTAATAAATCATGAGACCAAACCCATACAATTGACAATGATCAGCTTCTTGATATCAAAATTTAGACACCGACTCACATAAGACCATATAAAAATAAAATGAAATTCCAACCAAAAAAAAAAAAGAATGACGCATAAAAGCTTACATCGAAGAGTTGGAGCTGAAATTGGAAGGGTTTGAACTTTGCTTCATTGGTTGAAGAAGCCGAGAGATCGTCCCTGCTTCCATGATCAAAATTCTAAAGGGGAAAAAAAGAGGAGATTTTTTTTAGTGAAGATTTGGGTCAAATGGTAATATTGAAAGGGGGGTTGCTTATAAAATATAGAGAAAGGTTATGAGAAATATAGGGTTTATGGGAAATTATTGGATGGAGAGAAAAGGGATTGCGTGTATATATGAATAAATAAAGAGAACAGTCAAAGGGAAAGGGAATAATGAAGACGTGTTTCCTAATTGGAGGCGCTAATGGAAGAAAGAAGCAAGTACACCTAACACTAATGCTTAGACTTTTCTTCTTCTTCCTCCTCAACTGGTAGTTGGGCAAAGGGACCCAATCGATTGAAACTTCTAACGAAACCCGCGCCAAACCCACCTATCACTTTTTCTTTTCACTTTATGGGATATTAATTAATAACTTGTATAAAACTTAGCATTAGCAATGTATTATTTCGTAATGATCGTCCATCAGACTCAACACAATCCATCATCTTCTGCTCCAAGAGAGAAAAGAGCACTTTGCCCCCTCTCCACAACATCAAAAAAGGAATCTCCAAAGCCCTGGAAATCCTCGAGAAGAAAAATGCCCTAGAGGAAGAGGGAGTAACCTATGCCACACCACGAACGAACTTGCTCCTCCTGAACTCAGTGAGAGCGATAAAGTTCAGCACAGAAACCAGCAAGGTGATAGTTGTTCTCTGTCCTGGAACGATGGTCAAGTGTAGAATAAGTCTGGTCTCCATCCAAACCTACGACCCCATCAAGCCCTTACTAAATCTAACCCCAGTGCTGAGTCTCAAGAGGAAATCCTCCCACCTCCAACGACGTGCCATATGAGTTACATCATATGGAATGTTAGGGGGGAAACAATGCCGAATTCAAGAGGCACTGTTTAGAAATGGTAAAAATGCACAAGCCAAGTATGTTTGTTCTACTTGAAACTAAAATGGCAGACCACCAGAAACTGGCTCAAGAGCTCCAATTTGATATGATCATCCGGTCTTCGGCAGTAGGGCTCTCTGGAGGAATAATGTTCATGTGGAAAGAAGAGTATGTGGCAGTTGAAAAAGTGGCCATTACCCCCTAAGGCATCCATGCAATGGCAAAGGTAAGTCCCAACCACCCTCCATGGCTCTTCTCTGTTATCTACGCTAGTAATATTTCAGCTAATAGGACACTCCTATGGGAGAACCTAATCACAATATCAAAAAACCTCACAACCAACTGGTTTGTAGGAGGAGACTTCAATGAAGTCTTAAAGGCCATGGATAAATTTGGGGGCAATCCCATAACCCTCAGCCGCAACAATCTGTTCTGGAACTATATAAATGAGTGTAACCTTTTGGACCTAGGCTATAAAAGAAGTAAATACACTTGGACTAATAAAAGGTACAGTAATAGAACTTCTCTAATCCTGGAAAGAATAGATAGGTGCTTCGCCAATGAAGGTTGGATTCAGCAGCACCCTGAGGCAACTGTACTGCATCTCCCTAGGACCCACTCAGACCACTGTCCTCTTCAAATTAACTTGGTAGGGTCTCCAAACAATAACCTACCAAGGCCCTTCAGGTTTGAGTCAATGTGGGCTAGCCACCCATCCTTTCCTAACATCATCAATAGGGCATTCTCAGATCATTCCAACCTCATCCAATCCACGGATTCCTTCAAGACTCTGGTCACCAAGTGGAACCAAGAAATTTTTGGAAACATCTTCCACCAAAAGAGAAGAATCCTAGCAAGAATTTTTGGAATCCAGAGATCTCCTAACTACCAATTCAGTAGTTACCTGTTACACCTTGAGACTAATTTGACTACTGAACTTAACCTAATTCTTAAAAATGAAAAGGATTTCTGGAAGCTCAAATCTAGGATAAACTAGCTTAATGAGGGTGATGCTAGCACTAGATTCTTTCACACATCCATCCTCAATAGAAGAAGAAGGAACAAAATCCTCTCTATTAAAGAAGAGAATGGAAACTGGCTCCATGACCAGAAGGATATTCAAGCAGCCATATTGGTCTTCTTCACTGATCTATATACCACATCCCATACCAAAGCCCCTTGGGCTTTCACCAACCATTCCACTATGTCCCCCATTCTGTCTGAAGGCCAAAAAGCTTTTCTGGACAGACCTCTTGAGTTGAGTGAGATAAAAAGGGTAGTCTTCTCCCACAAAACCTTTAAATCTCTTGGCCCTGATGGCCTCCACCCCTTCTTTTACCAAAAATACTGGGACATAGTAAGTGACTCTATCACAAACTTCTGTCAAAAATGCTTTTCTTCAAGTTCTATGGATGACACCATGAACCAAACTCTATGGTGCCTAATCCCTAAATGCCCCCAAGCTTCAATGTTAAAAAGTTTTAGGCCAATAGGACTGTGTAACACAATTTACAAGTCAGTCACAAAAATCATAGCGAACAGAATAAAGCCTATCTTGCCTCATATCATTGGGCCAAGCCAAGCCAGCTTCCTTTCAAATAGGAGAGCCTGTGATAATGCCATCATTGTCCAAGAGTACATCACTCACTTTAGAAAAATGAAAGGGAAAATGGCAACATGATCGTAAAAATCGACCTAGAGAAGGTCTTTGATAGGCTGGAATGGTCCTTTAGTAGAGACACCCTTGCTACTTTCAACTTCCCCCAAGGATTATCTAAACTCATCATGTCCTGTATCAGTTCATCATCCTTCTTCATTCTTGTTAATGGGGGAAAACTGATCCTTCAAACCTTCAAGAGGTATTAGGCAGGGAGACCCAATGTCTCCCTACCTATTCATCATGTGCATGGAAAAACTATCAAGATCAATTGATAAGGCTGTTCTAGATAACCAGTGGCAACCCATAAGTATAAGCAGATCTGGCCTAAAAATATCTCATCTCTTCTTTGCAGATAACCTAACCCTCTTTGCTAAAGCTAATGGAAGGAACTGTAACACCATACTTTCCATTATGCAAAATTTCAATGAGCAGTGAGGCAAGAAAATTAATCTTGCCAAGTCAAGAGTCTCTTTTTCCTCAAACACTCCACAAGACTCCATACAGAATCTCTCCAACTCCCTGTCCATCCAACACACCACATCCTTTGGAAAATACCTTGGTTTCCCCATTCTCCACAAAAGCAAACCAGTGCAAACTTTCAATTCATCATTGATAACATGCAATCCAATCTGGCTGATTGCAAAACAAACTGCCTATACATGGCTGGAAGAACAATACTGACCAAAACCACTTTAAATAGCATTCCTAGCCTTTTAATTCAGTACTAGCCAAACCACTTTAAACAGCATTCCCAGAACAGTACTGGCCGAAACCACTTTAAACAGCATTCCCCATTCTCCACAAAAAGCAAACAAGTGCAGACTTTCAATTCATCATTGATAACATGCAATCCAAACTGGCTGGTTGGAAAATAAACTGCCTATACATGGCTGGAAGAACAATACTGGCCAAAACCATTTTAAACAGCATTCCTAGCCATGTCATGCAGTACATCAACCTACCCACTAAAGATACCAACCGGATTGACAAAATCCAAAGGAACTTTCTTTAGGGCACCACTCCTAAAAAGAAGAAGCTCCATCTAATCAAGTGGGAGGTGGTCACAAAGAGCAAGGCTGATGGAGGGCTAGGACTCTAAAAGGCTAGTATTAAGAACAAAGCTTCTCTTACTAATCTTGCCCGGAGGACTTACAAAAATACCAATAGCCTATGCGCAAGAGTTCTAATTCATAAGCACTACAACATGTCCAACAATGCTAGATTACTTAGAGCCTCTAGATACCCTAGACACCCAAAATCAACAACCTGGCAGTGCATTCTAAGAGGATGGGATAACTGCTATAAACCGAGCAGATGGGTAGTCCACAAGGGAAATAGGGTCAGCTTCTTAAATGATGCATGGATCCCCAATCCTCCAGCAATCAAACAGTTGATTGAGGGTCCTTTAAACCAAAATGACCTCAATACTAAGGTTAGCTCAATCCACAACCTAGGAACTTGGGACACATCATCCTTGTCTATTGCCCTTCCCCCAAATATCCTGAATCTGATAAACTCAATGTTTATTCCCCCTGTTCCAGCTAAAGAATACAACCTCATATAGAACTTGACTCCTAATGGTCAATTCTCAAATAGTTCTACTTACTCCTTCCTAAGCAAGACTGACACCAGCCCCCATTCTAGTGAGGAAGGCTCCTTCAAATGGATCTGTAAGCTGCAAGCTCCCAACAAAATCAAGAATTTCAGTTGGCTCCTCACCCATAAGAGACTCCTAACTAGGAGCTTCCTCTATAGAATTGGGATCAACTGTGACCCCCAATGTCCTTATTGTAACAATGGCCAGGAAACTATTAACCATATCTTCTTTGAGTGCCCTAATGTTGTCCGCTTCTGGAATGAAATACTGTCAAAATATTCAAGAGACAATCCACAACAGACTCCAGCATTCAATGGCCATCAACATGGAACTCAATCAGAAATGTCCATTTCAACAGCTATATCCTATGGGACAATCTCATTCCCTTCTGCTTCTGGCACATCTGGTTAACTAGAAACAACAACTTATTCAATAACAAGAAGGAACACATCAACTCCACAAACACAATCTCCAAAGCCACTGAATACCTTATGTTTACAAGAAATGGCTCTGGAAAAATAACTCATCAAATTGTATTACAATGGGAGCCCCAAGCAGAGGTTTATACAAGCTAAACACAAATGGAGCAGCAAGGGAGAACTCAGGGATATGAGGATCAGGAGGAGTATTTAGGAATCACAATGGCGACTGGGTAATGTGGTACATGGATAATATCCCTCACACAACAAACACTAGGACAGAATTACAGGCTCTCCTAAGGGGTCTATAACTTGCGGCGCAAAATAACTTGACTCCTCTGGAAATAAATGCTGGCTCCTCTGAAATCATCAATATGCTATCGAGAGGAAGCCTTATTTATGATCCTTTAATTTGTGAATGCAGGTCACTAATTCACAGGATGGACAAGGTGGTAGTGAAGCACATCTATCGGGAGCAAAACAGAGTAGGTGACGCACTGTCCAGGGAGGCAGCAAAAGAAGTCTTTTTGAACAAGTCTAGAATATTATCAGTTCCTCCGATGTTTGTCAATGATGTATTTTGGGCAGACATCCTAGGAACTGAATTGGTTAGAACTTTTGTGGGTTGTAATATAGACACAATCGTGCATAACATTACTACTATGAGGGTACTACAATACCCTAGCAATGACTTTGATG